TTTTTATGATGTGTGACTGTAAAATTACACTTTTTAAAAACTATATTTGAATCAGCTAAAAGATGTAATTACTTTGCAGATACTTTATTTTATTTTCACAGTTTTTGAAGTCACAGTATTCCATCATGTTTTCTTTTGCACCCCGACTGCCTGATTTGCAGATGTGTGTTTTTTACAGTGCACATTAAGCGTCACTGCTCCGGCCTTAATGTCTAAATATTGCGACAGAGCGATCACAACATGGAAACTCTCTCTTTCTCTGACCTCTGTTATCGCTGCCTCCCGCTACTTTGCACCTCTATCTCTGTCTGGCGTTCGCTCTGCTGAAGGCCTCCAGTGTGAGATGCTGCTGCCAGCAGGACTCTCAGCCTCTGACAGGAGGTTAAATGTGGAAACGAGACCTGAGCGTCTGATCTCGGCCTCTTTGTGAAAACACAGCAACCCAAATAAGGAGATGAAGCTCGGCCGAGGAGCCGGAGAGCCGAGCGGCCGAGGGCTCGGCTGGGTGGTTTGTTTGGGTGGAGGATGGAGTGGAGGCCGAGTGGTGAGAGGAGGGATGGAGAGAGAGGGAGAGGATGGAGAGAGAGGAGAGATGGAGGCAGGGAGGGAGGGAGGGAGGAGGAGGAGGTGATCAGAGGCTGGAGGCAGGTTCTGCTGCTGTTTAAATAACTACCCATATAGGGCTCAGCTCTCCATCCAGCTCCTTCTGCCTCCTTCCCTCTGTCGCTCCCCTTCTTTCTGCCTCTTTCCCTGCAGCTTCGTCCAGCAGAACCTCCTGCATCTCAGCACAACAGAGGGTCTCTACATCTCACACAAGCCAGCAGCCACCATGGAGGCCATCAAGAAGAAGATGCAGATGCTGAAACTGGACAAGGAGAACGCCATCGACCGGGCGGAGCAGGCGGAGACGGACAAGAAGGCGGCCGAGGACAAATGCAAGCAGGTGGGGAAGAAAGAGCGAGACGGGAGGAGGTGGACGGGGAGAAGTGATGGCAGCAAATATAGAAGAGAGCTGATTTAACAGAGGCGCTCTGAACCCAAACGTGACTTAAAATGTGTAGATCTAAATAAGTGGCAAATAAACTTCCAGCAGAGAGAATAACTTGTTAGATAAACACAAGAAATGACAAAGTTTTAGTGCAGTTTATGCAGAGAAAATCACACAGGAGGATAACTGTTTCCTACAAACCGTTTGGTATTTTATTTTGAAAATCTGATTCTCTTGATTCCACTAGCTGACTCTCTATGTCTTATTTGTGTACAGGGACAAATCTAATTTAAAATAAGTGAGTTGCTCATGTTGAAGGAGAAAAAAAAGCATCCAGCGTAAGAGGAGCCCATGTGCTTTTCTTTAAAGGCTTTTCTCTTTATCCAGTTCTTAAGCTAATCACAACACTGATACCATACCAGACATACCTCCACGGAAACAGCCAGTAAACACTTTTCACTTTTAGTTACACTACATTCCTCACAGCTGATTTACTGGAAGAGGAAATATCTGAATGTTTGGGGGGTTTTCTTGCTTTGGCTTCCAGTCTGGAGAGTAAATTAAACAAACGCTGGTGACAGTAAACGTCTCTTTAATCTTAAATATCCATGAAACTACTTCAAGTTTTCAACATCCAAGCTTTTGATTCAGATTTCTGCTGCACTAAACTGGAGTTTGGCTTTTTATGGGACCAAACCTGATGAGAAAAACCCAAAACAAACCCAGAGAGATCAGCAGGGGCTGCATTTGGAGACACTATGTTTGTATTACGGCTGTTTACACTCAGAGTTCATCACACACGCCTTCGATGGAGGCTCAGGTGATGAGACCACCCAGGATCAGAGTCTGGCCAACGTCCCTCCTCCTTCCTCCACACCTGGACCAGAGCAGAGCTGATGGAGGCTGAGTGGACATCCGTCATGGAGCCTGTCTGACAGCTGAATCCAACACAGATGGGAACATTACAGGCGTCTGTGTGTTCTGGCTGATAACGGCCGTATTTTTAGAGTGGACCTCAGCAGGATTATCAGATGTTCTTCATGGGCTCTGGAGGTGATCGGTGGGGAACACTTCACCCTGTCACTGTGAGAGGGAGCCGATTAGCTCCTGCATACCGGCGTTCCCGTCATGAAGCGCTGCTAGTAAACCATTAAAAACCATTTAAATGATCTCAGATACCATAAACAGAATTAGAATCCCAAATCAGCTGCTGTCGCTTTATCAGCAGGCCGACTTTAAACACGTCCCGTCACACTCGGGTGTCATTTACCCTCCATAAAGACACAATAAAAGACAAACTGCTTAAAGATACAGAAAGTCTTATCAATACAACTGATCAATGTCTCATTTTATCTGCATAAAGGTCGTTTATCTGAGAGAAGTTTTCAACAAACAGGATTGTCTCAGTGAAGAAAACATAATCTAATATGATCAAAACAGTGAATAGAATAGAATAGAATAGAATAGAATAGAATAGAATAGAATAGAATAGAATAGAAATCTCCTCCCTGGGGTCAGCAGGGCCTTCATCAGTCACCATGACAGCAGTTTTTTGTGTTTTTTAGCCAAACTGGGCCAAAGTGTTGAATGAAGTCAGGTGAGAAAGCAGAACCCAGCAGAACTAACGGTCGGTTGTGTTTTGCAGCTGGAGGAGGAGCTGCTGGACCTGCAGAAGAAGATGAAGCAGACGGAGGACGAACTGGACAAATTCTCAGAAGGCCTGAAAGACGCTCAGGAGAAACTGGAACTGTCTGAGAAGAAAGCAGCAGACGTGAGTGGAGAAACAAACACTGTTCACACACAGACTGAGCTTCTGTTCACTGCAGTAGAACAACAATGCAGCACGTTTCCCACCGAACCCTCAGGAAGGGACTGAACATCAACCAGGGTCACTGTCATTCACGACCTGGTCCTTCTGACGTGACACCACTGAGGTCTCGGGCCCATTGTTCCACAGCTGGACCGGTTTCTAAGCTGACACCAGCTGTGGCTTTACTTTGATCCGCTGTGAATGTTGTGGAGCACTTCAGAGGCCGTTGCATTCCTGTGCAGCCACTCCTGAAAGATGAGCACATGGTTAAACTGTAATCCTCTCGCTCAGGCACACTCACACTCACGCCGGTGCTGCAAACCTGCAAACTGGAGCAGAAAGCAGCGTCATCACAGGTTCTGACACACATTCACGACCCTTCCAAGGCTTTTTATATCCACGTGAACGCACAGTGCGGCGATGACAAGAGTTGGTGTTCGTGCAGACGCTGCGATAATCAGCAGGTGATAAAAATGCAGGAATATCGTTTTGCTTTTCACTCTTTTTACTCTTGTAGTGTCTCTAATGCTAGTACAATTCTGCAGGACTTCATGCTCCTTCGTATTTTTAAATCCAGTACGATTTAATAAATGTCATAATTGTTAGGTGAGAGACTGGATGACAGAATTCATGACATATGTGACTTCAGCTTCCCAGCTCTTGTTCAGTCTTCATCAAAGTGTTCATCGGAGCCAAAAGCTAAGTTCTAAGCAACATTTTGGTGGAATTTTTTTTATTGGAAATAGATTTTTTTTTAAACATCTCAGCTGTGAAAACATATTTAGAGTTAAGCCTCTTTAAAAACAGCTGTGAAATTTGGTTATGAAACAGACAAAATGGTCTTTTAGGAGATCAGAAATAGTCAAATGGCTTCAAAATTGGCCAAAATCTTGATTAGTGGACCTTGAAATTTTTTTTAAAAAGTGCAAAATGTTCACACAAGGGTGACGCTGGTTCCCCAGAGGGGTCCTGTGAGTGTGTATACATGGATATTTATTCAGATTTTCTCCTAAAAATACAGTCTTTGGTTGACATTTCACCAACATCAGTAGAACTTGATGTGTGGATGGTTTGGTAGGACGAGG